CCAGACTTTTTGGGCACTCAAGGTATTTGTTAGAAGTGGTTAGAAGTGGTGGTGTCACAGTTCACATGCCATGGGATGTGTGGACAGCTCCAAAAGACTGAGAAGAGCGGTTGTGGGGGTTAACCTGTTACTCGCGGGACACAACAGAAATACAGTCTATTTTCACAACAATTAGTGTTTGACCAAGCTACTGTCACCTCTCAAAATCTACTGTGCCCTGTCCAAACCAGTCTTGGGGTGCAGGCTGCAGCTGTGTTGAGGTGAGTCGAACTTTAAAATTTCAACATCGTAACAAATAAGTTGTTGTGGAGATGTTTTCTCACACAAACAGTGGACCCATTAGCCATAGCAGACATTATTTTCAATGTAGTCAGACAAGTTCAAAATGTGAAGGAAATTAGGTCTAGATGAATAACATTCAAGCTGGAATTGTTAAAACCAATTTATTTCCATTTTCTTATGGTGTCAATGTATTTATTGGCATTTGATGGCTCAAGTCCTATCTTTTTACAAACTGGGTGGACTTGGGCCCCGTTTTCAGAAACCATGTGGACTTGCGTGGACTTACTTCCTTTGGTCCTGAAAATGATGGACTTGCGCCCTAGTTTCAGAAAACGCTTGGACTTGCGCCCTTATGCACATTGCTGTCCAGTGCCAACTATAATAGATAATCTGAAACCGTTTTGACTGGGGTGTGTATCATACAGTATAGGTTCTAGAAAGCAGTAGAATACATTTTCCCCAACTTGTAGACTTACGTCCTTTTGTCAGATCATCAGTGAATTAGTCTTGCTGTCTTGATGCTGGGTTTGTTGTGTGACCTGAAACACACAACATTTCCAAAAGTAGACACTGTCATGTCACCCACTTTTGTTGGATGATTAGTTTTAACTAGCCTAGGTGTCTCCTACTGCTTAGTCCTACCTACGTGACACCTTAATTTATAAAACTAAACCTATCACACAACTTCTCTAGGTTATGGGACTTAGCTTTTGTTTTGGAATTTCTTCACGTTGATGTTGTCCCTCGGCGATTCTGCGTTGTTGTTCCTGTGTCGAAATGCGGTTTTCCTTTCCTCAGCGTCGTCTTGTGTAATTTCTTTAAATTTTGCAGCTGTTGTTTTGCACAACTTTGCTGATTTGTTGATTTTTTATCTCTCAACAACTCTTCCTCTCTTTCCTCCTTCCTTCTCCCCGCCTTCTGCGGCTGTTTGAATTCGGCTTTTCCGATTCCCTTTTGTTTCCGTCCATCCCGTTAGCGCTCTCCAACCGTTACCTTTCAAATCCGGCACCTGTTCCTTGCTTTTGTGCGATCCCTGTATAAAATGGCTCCTCGTGGTCCTGGTGCTGAATCTTTGAGTGCGCTGATTACCAGCGACCTTCCCGAGCCTCAGGAGCATTTAGATCAGTTAAATGCCGAATACGGGGATTTTGCTCGCCTTATTTGCGTTCAACTTGTGCGGGGGCTTAACCGCCCGCTGGCTGGACCTCCCGCCGGGTAGGTCTACCTTCCAATTTTTTTCAGTTCCCCTTCTTCATTTCCTTGTTTTCCTTGAATTTTATGTTTATTTATTTTATTCAGATATGCATCCGTTGTGGAAATTCGTCTGAGGTTAAGTCTAGCAACAAATGGGAGGTGCTAGACGACAGTTTTTTCGAGGACTTAGTTGTGAACGAGTGGGTTTTCGGCCTCAATGATGAATGGTGCACCTGCGGGCATTGTTTTGAACCTTGCTATGTATGTTTTGTTCCTTTCCTCCTTTCTTTTCCATTTTATTTCTGTCCCTTTTTATTTGCATGTTTTTCTTTTATTTTTATTTTTTATTTTTAGCGAGTTCTGGAACGCGAGCTTATGGCGCACCGAAACAAAGATGGCGTGATTAGCTCTGAAGAATACTACAGCATCCTTAATATTGGTGCCAATTCTGTTCAGACTCTGCCCGATATTCTTGAAGAATCCGAGCCTGAAACCGAATCAGAGGATTGGTCCTGTCGGTCCTGCTGACTCTTCGGACTCCGATGAAGGTAGGTTCCTCTTTTGTTTTCCTGTTCAGTCCATTCGAACACGTAACGGTTCTTTGATTCCTGTCTCTTCACGATGGCTCTCGTATTTTTATGTTATCACCACGGGCTGGAGGACTCCGAGCCCGTTCAAATTTGTGGGAGTTGTGCTCGTTTTTGTGCCCCTGAATTCACTCTGTTGCGTTCCCCCGGGGTCTTTGAGCTTTCCTTCCAAACCTTTCCTGATCTCTTTGGTGCGCACAGTATTTACATCTGTGCCAGATGCCTTCGTTTCACTTTTGTATGTTCTAGGCCCTCGGCTACTGCAGGTGATTTTTGTTGCTTTATTGTTGTTTTTGTTTTTGTTGTTTAGCGCCCTCTGCACCAGCTGGTCTTGGACCCATCAGTACTCCTTCCGTCCCTCCCCAGTAATGGCGGCTGCCTTTGTGAAGAGTGAGGTTAGTTTTCACTTCTCTTTTCCTTGACATTCGTCCCTTTACCGTTCTGTTTCACCCTTTTCTCCGTTTCTTTCCAGATTTCCTCTGTGTTTCCCTCTGTGATTTCCTCTGTCATCAATTCGTCATCAAATTTTGTCATCCCCTTCCATGTTTGTTGCTTTCTGGGGTGGAATGTTTAATGCTGTTCTTCAATAGGGTATTGGTCTAGAGCGCTGAGCGGAAGTAGAAGAACAAAAACGGAAGATGGAAGGGCGCCCGCACTGCTCCCCGCCTGCCGCGCCTGCCGCCTCCACTTCTCCCCGGGCGCTCCCCCACTCCGCCTAGTGGAGGGGAGGGGGAGGGCCAAGGCGCCTTTCCGTCTTCTGTTTTTGTTCTTCTACTTCCGCTCAGCGATCTAGACCAATACCCTATTTAAAATATTTATTCACTCAAGTTTTAAGAACATATTTATTTATTTTTTTGCATTCTGTGTTAAAACACTTCCATCTATTTGTTGTTCCCTAACCATTTGTGTTATAACATCTTGTGATCTCTAATTGGCTGAGCGATTAGCGAAGCCTATAACTCCAGTGATCAAAAAGTTTCGCGTCTGTCTGTCTGTCTGTCTGTCTGTGCGCACGATAACTCGTGAACGAATTGAGCTAGCGACCTGGGATTTTCAGGGTCGTTTTGTATCATTAAAAGACAGATCGAGTTCAAAGAA